GAGCAAAGACTCCATATTAGGTGTTCAGACAGTGTGTGAGGTGACAGTTCTGAAGTGTGTGTGACTTCATATTTGCTTATAGAGTAGGAAGTGCCTTGCATGCAAAGGCCATTATTTTATCTATGTATTTAAACTGACGTTTCTATAAGCCTCAAAACTGGAGAAACAATAGTGTCTTTTTTTTTATTTATTTGGATGTATGCAACTTCTAACTGCCACAGTACACAGACTTCTGATTAGCTGTGCTGACAGAGTAGGAGGTACTTTGCAAGAAAAGGCCATTATTTGTTCTACTTATTTAAAAAAAAAACATTTCTATAGGTTGCAAAAATGAGGAAATATTAAAACGTCTTTGAGTGTTTTGTTGTGTATGAATGCATGCTACTACAAACTGCCACAGTACACATACTTCACATTAGGTGTGCTGAAAAAGAAGAAGGAACTAGAAGAAGAAATAGAAGAAATAGCCTTTTCTTTCAACTTATTTGGAATAATATTTCTATAGTTCTCAAAACTGGAGTTTCTGAGAATTTTCTTGACTTTGAACTCCAAATTGCTACGGTAAAATGTCTTTATATCCTGATCAGGCATAACATTATGACCACCCTCCTAATATTGTGTTGGTCTCGCTTTTGTTGCCAAAACAGCCCTGACCCATTCCTTGGACCACATTTGATAGATACTGACCACTACAGACTAGGAACACCCCACAAGAGCTGCAGTTTTGGAGATGCTCTGACACAGTCATCTAGCAATCACAATGTGGCCCTTGTCAAATCTGTAGCTTGCCCATTTTTCCTGCTTCTAACACATCAACTTTGAGGACAAAATGTTCACTTGCTGCCTAATATATCTCACAAACTAACAGGTGCCGTGATGAAGAGATGTTATTCACTTCACCTGCTATTCCTGATCAGTGCACATAGTATAGGAGGTCCCTTATAAGAATTGGTTGTTGATTTTTTACTTATTAGAATGCTTAATTTTACAGTTTTATGACTCTATAAGTGAAATAATAGCATGCTCCTTAAAAATGATACAGTAAAATGTTTTCCTTTGATGTATGTATAGAAGATGGTAAATTACTTATAAGAATCAACTTTTTTTTTACTTAGATTACACCTCTCTATAAGCATCTATGATCATTCTTCTACTTATTAGAAATGGGGTCTTTATAGGCCTCTGAAACACAATAAATTAACATTTCTGCAAAATGCTATAGTAAAATGTTTTTAAATAAGGTGTGCATATAGTATGGGACGTCCCAACTGATCAGTTTTTTTTTCCTACTTATTAGAAATGGGGTGTAATAATCTGTCATATCTCGAAAACGATGCAGTAAAATGGTTTTATATGAGGTGTGCATATAGTATGGGACGTCCCAACTGATCAGTTTTTTTTTCCTACTTATTAGAAATGGGGTCTTTATAGCCCTCTAAAGTGTAATAATGTCCCATATATCGAAAACACTCCAGTAAAATGTTTTTATATGACGTGTGCATATAGTTTGGGATGTCCCATAGAGGAACTGACTATTGGGTTTTTCTACGTATTAGAAATGGGGTTTTTATAGGCCTCTGAAATAGAATAATGTTCCATTTCTCAAAAATGCTGCAGCAAAATGGTTTCATATGGGGTGTGCGTATAGTATGGGACATCCCATATAAGAACTGGCCATCGATTTATTCTACTTATTAGAAATAAGGTCTTTATAGCCCTCCAAAATGTATTCATGTCTCATATCTCACAAATGCTGCAGTAAAATGGTTTCATATGAGGTGTGCACATAGTATGGGACGTCCCGTAAAAGAACTGACCATTGGTTTTTTCTACTTATTAGAAATGGGGTCTTCATAGCCTTCAAAGTATAAGAATGTGCCATATCTCGAAAACGCTGCAGTAAAATGACTTTATAGGAGGTGTGCGTATAGTATGGAATGTGCATATAAGAACTGACCATTCATTTCTTCTACTTATTAGAAATTAGTTCTTTATAGCCCTCTAAAGTGCAATAATGTCCCATATCTCGAAAACGCTACACTAAAATGTTTTAATGTGAGGTGTGCATATAGTATGGGACGTCCTTTATAGGAACTGCCCGTTGGTTTTTTCTACTTATTAGAAATGGGGTCTTTATAGCCCTCTAAATTGTACTAATGTGTCATATTTTGAAAATGCTGCAGCAGAATGGTTTCGTATGAGGTGTCCGTATACTACGGGATGTCCTGTATAAGAACTGACCAATCATTTATTCTACTTATTAGAAATGGGGTCTTTATAGCCATCTAAAGTGCCATATGGTCTCATTTCTCAAAAACGCTACAGTAAAATGCTTTCACATGAGGTGTGCATATAGTATGGGACATCCCGTATAAGAACTGACCACTGGTTTTTTCTACTTATTAGAAATGGGGTCTTTATAGGCCTCTGAAGTAGAATAATATCCCATATCTAAAAAATGCTGCAGTAAAATGGTTTTAATATGAGGTGTGCAATAGTATGGGAAGTCCCTTATAGGAAATGACC